GTGACCCAAAAAAAAAAAAAAAAAAAAAAAAAAGAATTAGAGACTTCAACGTTGTCCCAGCCAACCTTTCTACCTTCAAGCACATAGACACCATAATTTTCATTTTATCATCATAAACTTGTTGCAAACCCTTAAGAATTATAATTGCAATCAAGTATGTGATTTTTAAACAACTTTTACTTTTCTTCATATCCAATAGGTATGTTTTTCCTAAAGCACCCTGCTCTGATGCACCTTTTGGACCATTTTCTTAACACAGCAACCCTTACATACAGGTACATTATTCTTCTCTTGGGATGACCAGCACTATGATTAAATGATATCTAAAGTACTTATTTTTATCCACTAAGGGTGAATATTATTTTTAAATGCCAACAAATGTGATTTTCATCCTGTTGAAATTTTAAAGACAGCTATTCTATCTTCACTAGAAATATCCTGTAACAATAAGCTAATATCTTGCAGTCTTTCAGAAACTGAGGTGGGCGTCTTATCTTTGAAGGACTGACATAAGTATAACTTTCTCTAAGATTAAAAAATGTTTTGCTTGTTAATCATGAAGGTGGAACACACTGCACAGTGAATCTTAGTCTTAGAAAGTTTCCCTTTGAAACTCACATAAAACAAAATTACTTCCTTTCTAAGAAGTAAAGAGGTATTACATGGAATGCAGACAGAGTATGAGACAGAGAGAGAGAGAGAGCAACCATTACTGTAAAGATAATTAAAGTATCTTGGATTTCCAAACACTCAACGCATTGCACTGAGAAATAAGAATTTTTAATAAAAGTCAGATTTGGCCCTGAGCTCAAAGCATGATGATCTTAAAGTTAAGACCCTATTCACTGATCATCTCTGATTTCCATTCTGACCATCTCTAATTTCAATTCTGAAAAAAATAAATTTGCACTGGAGTTAGTTTTTCTGGAATTGTCGCTAGAATGCATGCAGTGTTCGGCACCGGAACAACACCGAGGAGAGGCTTTCTATCATAGCAAACAGGGACACACCACATAAAACCTATTTTTAAAAATCATTAATAGATAAAATAACTCAATTTAGCTCTTGAATGTCATTCTCTAGAAAAATGTTCTGTGAATCAAAGATACTAATAGATGCACAACTTCTTACTCAATTACAGCAAATTTCCAAGCAGTGAATTTCCAAGATGTTTTACAGCTTATAAATCCAATTGTTTTAAAAAGGAAAGGCTGGACCACCACAGAGATACTGTAACTTATAAACTGTTATAAGCATCTTTATAGTATATGCTATTCTGAAATTATATTGACTCCTAGGTGCTTGGGTTGTTCTAGTTTTAATAAGGACACCTAAGAATAGTTTCTTGTATTTATAAAATATCTCTCAGGCAAGCAGATGAGAAAACTTCCCGAGCAACGTCTTGCTTTATTTATCAGTATTCACAAGTCACAAGTGGAAGGGAAAAAAATCAAACCAGACAATATTTTGCACATGAGGAAATGAGGCAGTCAGAAGTGATAGAATTATTGTGTATCTTCTTGTTCCTCGACCTACAGAATGGCAGAGCCTACACTTGACACTTGGGGTCTGGAGATGTGAAATCAGACTCATCTCACAGAGCAGGGGAGAAACAGGATTAGAAACAGTTGCTCCGCCTGCTTCAGGCTGCTGACTATCTGGTGTTAGGTGCAGGATGTACTGAAGTTTCCTCTGGAAAATACCTCCACCCCCAGGGCTTCAGCCATCACAGAGTTAACCCTCTACAACAAGTACCTATCTCCGCAGAATCTTCCTCTGCAATGTGTTCCCGCTCTGGCGACATTTAGCCCAATGGCATTCTTCTCCTACTCTTTCTTTCATTGTTAATTAATAACATATCCATTACTACTCATATTTAGACAACATATTAGAATTTGCCAAACATGTGGCCCTATATCACCTCATTTAATCCATACATCTTTAGGAGTTACTATATTTCTGTTTTACAAACAAGTAATTAAAAGGCTCAAAGAGACTAAGTGCCTAGGCAAAGTCCCCTGATCTTTCTTAAATGCAGGACATGACATTTTCTAACATTCAACAGCCCAATAACTATTCAGTCCTGAGTGTAAGCCAGATACTAGATCATAGAATCCCTAATACACCCAGGCCTGCCCTCTCTTGGTTTTTGGTTTTTATTTTAGCCTGCAAAATAAAAATACCCATCATGGTTCTAACTAATTCACAAAAAAGAATAAAACAGTATAATTAAGGAGAAAGTGATTTGCAAACTGCTAAGAGGGCTACACAAAGTAAGTGTTGCTGTTTGCACCTTACTGAGGTGAACCTGCCAAACTGCCTTTAACTTTACAACAGCAAAGAGGTGCTGGTGATGGAGAAGGCTGGATGATGAAGGGAATTCTAGGAAGGGGCAAGAGAGGGATACACAGGAAGATCCAACCTAATAACCCAGTTCAAAACCCTCAGTGGGTGAATGGGCTCTGGAACACATTGCTTTGTTACTTAATACATTTCCAATAAAGCTTGAGTTGGGGGTTACACTAAGCAGAAACACTGTGAGATAAAAATATAGTTTAAAAAAGACCTAAAAGTTCTAGCCAGATAGTCGGGACAGTAGAGTCTCGGTTCTATTCCCGAGCACTGAAAATAAAAACCAAAAAACCAAAGGTTCTAGCCATAGCTCAGATCCAAAGAAAACTACTAAATTTAAAGGGTTCAAAATTGAAACTTTTTATCACAACAGGTAACAAAGGAGGACATGCGTTAGAATCGCTGCATTTTCATCAATTCTAACATTCCTTTTTTATACATGCACATTGTCCTAGCTCTAAAATTGGGAAGAATTGATGTAATGGGGAATCTTAATACTCAATATTCTCTCTTACAGATATGTCAAATAATGTTGCATCTTACGGTTGATGGGATCTTTGCTTTAATTAATTTAACAGGAATAATTTGGGTTACCTGTTTTTAGATTGGTTCCAAGGAAAGCTTTCCAGTTTCATAGCTGGGACATGTTGAGTCTCATCTACACAGAACTTACAGCCAGGGATCTCAAGGCTGGCCCTCTTTGCACACTCAAGGTAGGATATAGAAATGGGAACTGCAGAGGCAGCTTCCCTACCCAGAAGCAGAAGGACTTTGATCAGGTCATATGGCTGTCTGCCCTCCACTGCTCTGGTTGGCCTTCCCTAAAGCTGTGAAGACAGTACAGCCCCATGCAAGCTGCCTGGTTCTGTTTGCTTCTGCTTTAAGAAGAGCATTCTAAGGTTGAGCAGTGAGAAACACACTGGAGATTGTGTCACAGGCACATGTGCCCACTACTGTTGGCACAGATCTAACTCTTTCTTAGTTTTTTGGTCAGACCGTAGCCTTGTCTGTCATCTGATCATAGCTGAAAAATCATACGCAGCTTTCACAGTCTCAGAATCTACTTTTAGCAGCAACTTCTACAGCAAAAGCAAGATTCATATCCACCTCTTACAACTTAAACCTATCATAATGCAAGAGAATTCCATGACAACACACTAGTGGCCCAGTGCACTGGGAACATCACAGACACTCATCCTGAAACATGTAACCCTGTCTGCTGGGAGAGGAAAGAGCTGGTATAAAATGGGGTCTGCACAAAGAAGAAAGAGAAGATGTCAATCTCAAGAAGAGTCCAAATGAAGTGCATCAAAAGTAATAGTGTAACTCTCATTAAGTGCCACCCCACAATACTGTTACAAACACACACACACACACACACACACACACACACACACACCCTAGCTATCCTTTCTGCAAAACTTCTCAGACTGTGGATGAGAGAATAGTTTCTGATTAAAAGCAATGTAAGGAAATATGACCAATGACTTTCTCTTTTAACTTTTTCCTTTTCATAGCTTGATCCACCATTACTCTTACAGGCCAAATTCTAACAGCCTCCACTTGGAATCTTACCTGGGACCAAGCTATGAATTTATTATCAAGATGCAACCCCACTGCGAGTCCTCAGCAGAAACCTGCATAAGCAGCAAAGGAAACAAGGCTCTTTTGTGACTTCATCTTGGGTCATCGCATTAGTCAGAGACCCTATACCAGAGGGTATGAACAAAGGGCCCCCCAAGATCATTTAAATAGGAGACAAATAAGCAGACAAGGTAGACCATGATAAGATCCTTAAAAATTATCTTTAATTGATGCCAAGTATGAACAGATCATAAAGTGACAGAAGCAAGTAAAATTGCATAGATGAAAACTATGCGCATCAATTAGGTTCTCAATTCATAACATTCAATGTCCTCTACCTGACGTGGTGAACAGTTAGGGTGAGGGGACTGCGGGGTGGGTGGGGAGCAAATGAGACACATCTTCAACTCAAGGGGGAGGTGACTGACAAACTCAAAATGTAAAAGAAAGCCTTTTCAGCTTAAATGGTTTGTTGTCCTGATGGTGCACTTCAGGTCAGTACTACTCAGCTTTCATTCCTAACCTCTGTAACTTGTAATACCAGAGGTATGTCATAAAAAAACCATTTTATGGCAGTCTGCTTACAGCCACTGCACATGTGGTCCCCAAACAGCGCACTGAGCAGGAGCAAGGGCATCTGCAACTTTTGGAGAGGAGACAACTTTTGACCTGGAGTATTCTGCAAGAAGTTTCTGTTTTGTTTTGTTTTGTTTCCTTACACCATTCCTTGTTCTTCTCTGATTGTAGGACAAAATTTTTCTAGATGCTGTGAAGTTCCATATCATAAATGAAAATCACTGTGACTTGGGCCCCTAAGGCTCCCTAAAGCTCACAGCCCTGAGGTCAGGAAGGTCTTACCCTTCACATACACCCTGGGCTTCCTCCAGAGAGCCCACGGTCATTTCGTCTGAGCAAAGAGACTAGCATTTGATCTTCAGGCTTCTCACCTTACATCTACACCCTGAAGAAGTCTGAAGAAGTCTGCACAGTGGGCCAAGGTAATGGAACAGTTTTGGTTAACAATTCAGTTCCTGTTCACTTCGTTACAGAAGTGGTAAGTAATGTACATTCTTTTAAGAGTTACCTGAGTCATACCAGACATGTTCACATATACCCTGAAATTCCCCGTTATAAATAACAAGTGCTAATGTACTGCATGGTAGATGAAAGGTCACTTCCTGAGATCACAACGTAACTTGGGTTTGTTGTTTTTTGTTTTTTTTGGGGGGGAGGGGTCTGGTCTTAAAATTTTGTTTGTCTTCTTAACATAAACGTCAAAGGACTTCACCTTTGCTTGGAAAACAAACTGGAAGATAAAGTAGTTGTTTGGAAGTTTATAGCCTTTCTAAGAATTTTATTCTATGGATGGTTGCCACCCACCAATTCTCACCACTCCCAGAAATAAGTTGTTCCTGGAAGAAAATGGGTAATTGCCTTCTGCTAATGTTCTCTCTCCTGTCTGCTCAGTCCAATCCACCAAACAAAGAACTAAAATTTAAGATAGTTAAAAAGCATGGGTTTTGAGGTCTCCTATGACAAATGGGAGGGTTAGGAACTGTATTTTACTGATTCGTTCAGATACTAACTAATGTGAAAAAATTGTAACAGACGCAACACGAAGAAGGCCCTTTATGGACTAAACCAAATCTCCATTAGGAAATATATACCTCATTTACCATTTATGTGTATTTTTTGGTCTTATGCTCAAGTGAATCAAGATTATGATATCCCTTGTACTTCAGCTCCACCATTGCAGAATCTAAACGCACCGTGCAATTTTGTGTTACAGAAACGATGTCCACTGGACAGAATGTGGGAGAAAAGCTTGCTATTCATTCATTGATCAGATTTTGCTGGGCTAACCGACTAACATATACCCAATAGATGAACTTAACTGGTCATCAAGTCTCAAGGGAGGGAGGTGTGCACAGATGGGTAAGGGGAATGATGCAAAAAAAGAAACCTTTCCTGGCTAAGATCTGATACCTAGAAATCTGAGGACAGAGAAAATGAATGTCTTTGGTCTCTCTGGTTCAGATCACTTGAGGCAAGTTAATCACATCAGAGATTCTGGGATGACTAACAGCCCTGGTGTGGCCCAACCCTCCAGTGCCACCCTATTGAACTAGGGCCCCTAGCTGGAAGGGCTGAGCTATGGCTATCAGCACATCAGAAGTCTTCTTCTGAAAAAAACGAATAATCAGGGCCATGAGCCATCAAAGCTCAGTACCTAAGGGGATAGAAAGGCAAAGAGCCTGAGAAAATAAACATGAGATAAGTAAACCAAATGATAGTCATTCCTTAGTAGGTAGTTTTGTTAAGTGCACCTTCAGGCCTACAAAGACATTTCAGCACATTACAGTGCAAGGGGTAAGAGCTTGGTCGGATGTTGCATGCCTATGCTACACAGATAATCCCTGTACTCCATTCTCACTAAATTCATTGCAATGAGCTACAGATGGATAAGCAGCATTCTTTCCCCCCAGAACACCTCAATTTCATAAAAAGAGCTCATCCCCAACCCCAGGCGGACAGCTTCACTGCATGCAGCACTTATTCATGTAATGCATGCAGAAGAATCAGCCAGTCCAGAGTGACGATGAGTACACTGAGCAGCCACAGTCAATCTTATAGGCTCAGTCCTGTTCTCTCATCCTCTAACGCGTCCATGCCACAGTACTGAGAGGATTATTGCTGTTGACAGAGTGCAGCGTTTTAAGTTCTGTGGTGTCCTAGACCTCAAAGTCAAAAGAAAAGATCAAGACAGCCCTGGAATTTGGGAGAGGGTTTGGCATTTTCCTCCAATCTGGGAGGACTGTGAAGCAAGTAGGAGATGGACATCCAGGAGGAGTTCAGAGGAACATCACATAGGAGGAGTGAATGCCCTGGAGTCAGAGGCTATACAGTTGTTGGCCCCTCATCTTCCGGGAAGTGTGCTGTGTTCACCTTTCAGATTCACAAAAGTTGCACAGGGAAATAAGTATCCATGTTCTTTCCTTTAATCGAGTCAGCAAGCCTGACGTGGTGTTGATTGCCTGGTTGACTGCCTGACTGCTAGTTTGAGGGTAAAATGGGGGAAAGGGATGGAATAGGGAAAATTCCAGAAGAAGCAGGGCAGGAATGTAAGGTGGTCCGCAGCAGGTAACTACATGCTGAGTGTAGAACGAAGACTTCCCACTTCGTTGTCCTTAAAAAGGGTATGAGTGCCTCTGCACTGGTGGACAGCTGCTGGCTTTTTCTGCTGGCACAGGGTCCCCATCGTTCTCTACCGGCTCCTGGGGTAGCAGAAGTTAGATGCTCAGTTGAACTGGGTGGGATGGTCATGGGCGCACTGAGGAAACCTAGATTGGGTAGGCCAGGAGGGCAGGCCTAGGAAAGGTCATTGCGCGCTGAGTGCCCCCAAATCCACTACAATGCCTGAAGAGATCAGACCCTCAGTGATTTGCAAAGTACTATATCAAATAGAGAAAGAAATAGGAAATGTACCAGGAGCACACATTGGACCTGACGAAGCTTTGCATGTCCAGAGTGGCCCTCCATAGGATGCAAATTCCCAAAAGTTTATCTTGGTTTCCAGTGGAGAAGAGAAAAAATGAGTTCACAGTCCAGGTCCAGTTCAAAGATGGGTCTCAGGTCACGTTCCGAGTCAGGCTGCCCAAGGGACCAAGTCCAGTAGATGGCCAGAGAGACAGCACCCTCCTGGATCTCTCCTCTCCAGGATTTAGGGTGGAGTGGGCTTCTCACAGTGGTGAAGTGAGAGTGAGAATGGAAAAACAAAACAAAAGAAAAAGAAAAATGTGTGTGCCCCAACCCTTCCTTCCCTCTTGTTACATAACTTCTCAGCTGTGTTATGGAGGCACTTTCTGCAGTTCACTGTAGGTACAGGATAAAGGCACTAAGCAACTATTAAATCAATTGGTTGAGTTTCTTCAGGGAGCTTCAAGGGGAGGGTCAAAGTCTTAACGACTTCAAATCATGACTGCAAAAAGAAATCAGCTCTGCTTTGGATGCATACAAGAGATAAACATCATTTACATCCTAAGAATGCACCAAGAACATGCAATATTGCACCTTTTTTGTGTGTTGTTTTGCTTGGTTTATCTTCAGCTAGAAAGAATACTTGTTCTTAGGTGTTACTATATATACCTTGATGACTTATTAAGTTTCAACATTGTTCCCATTTAAAGTATGGGCATATTGGTCCTCTCTCTGCTCCAGCCTGCACAGAAACCTGACGCTTCCCTGATCAACCGCAGGAAAATTGACTGAGTCCCCCACCCCCACCCCCATTATTCTTTTGGGTCTTTCATCCCATGGACTTGTAAACTTTTATTATTTTTTAAATTTTTATTACTGAAATCATGCATTAATTAATTCAAGGTACATCTTCATCAAATAGGTCATAATGCTGAATAAGAGAACATGCTGTGAGCGCCAAAAAGTTATTGTTCCCCTCTGACTAACATATGCACTTAAATACAATCCTTTATTTACTAAAAGAGTTAATAAATGAAGGAGTGCACTTTTGGTGAATGCAAATGAAAAAGGATCTAGTTTTAGAAGAGTCGATTTCAACGTAAACTTATTCCCTATTGTCTGGGTTAACGTTCTGCATGCGATTATAAAATAAATGCTACCAGATTCAAGCATGCTTACATGTAACTCCGTTTGTGCTCTCTTGCAATAAGGAGACTAAGATTTGATATCCAGTTCTGAAGACCAGGGGGCAGGGGGCAGGACTGATGAGGAAAGACCTGTTTTTGGATCCCCTGCAGTTGAGAAATCTTAGCAGCACTGCAGATGAATCAATTACATTAACTCAGTTATCCTTCTGTTAGAGTCTGGATTAGAAGTCTGAGAAGGGGGCAGAGGGAAAATCCTCATAGATCAGGACCAGTATCAGATTGATAAGGTGCTTTGTGAACCAGTCTGAAGTGATTCTGGTTTTGTTTACCTTTCAATATGCCATTCAGCTGATCAAAATAAAACCATGTATTCATTGCCCATTGTAGCTGGTATATCATATTACATAGACTAGGTCAGAAGCACTGCCTTTACTGTGCTGTGGGATTTGCAAAGATCTTAAGTTGGATTTTCGTGCAAATTTTAATTTTATATTTCTAACTGATCATCTGGGTTTTAGTTTTTTTAAAAAAATTTTTAAAGAAGCCAAAGGATTAGAAATGATTCAATAAGGGGAAACATACGAATCTTATTTTACCTGGACTAGTTGATGGACTGCATTTTTAAAGCTGGTTTTAGAAAATACTCTTTCCTTTCCCATTTTTTTAACAAAATGAAAATAGTTTCCCTTTTTTTTTTGTATGGATCTTGAAAATTTCTGGTTCGCCACTCCCAAAATTCACAATGCAACAATGCATTGACAGTCAAGTAAAGCATTCAAAGACTACTTAGTAAAGTATCTACAAAGTGTGACCTGAGTCACTGGGGTGTTTCAGTCTTTCGAGTGGGGCTTTTTCGCCTGCTTACTTGCTTTTCCTAAACATCGGTCAATAGCTTGCTCTTATTAACGCAGTTTTGATTAGCTGTGGTGCAATTGCCAGTTCTGATATTGGCCTGTCTATAATGGGCTATGCTATTATTCATATCCTCTTCGATCTCCATGTACTCAGACTTGCTGATAGTGGAGGAGCTGCGGCGGCTGAGGTCACTGTCAGAGGCTAAGTTAGGAGAGCTAACGTGGAGCAACTGAGCCTGCTCTTCCCCCTCAGTTTCTCGGTGGTAGAAATAGTTGAAATTGGACACAATGACAGGTACGGGCAGGGCAATTGTCAGCACACCAGCGATGGCACACAAGGAGCCCACGATCTTGCCTCCAATTGTCACAGGGTACATGTCACCGTATCCTACAGTGGTCATTGACACCACCGCCCACCAGAAAGCATCGGGGATACTGGAGAAGTGCGACTCAGCTTCTTCCGCCTCGGCAAAGTACACTGCACTAGAAAACAGTATGACCCCGATGAAGAGGAAAAAGATGAGCAGCCCTAACTCTCTCATACTAGCTTTGAGGGTCTGGCCCAGGATCTGGAGGCCCTTAGAGTGGCGGGAGAGTTTGAAGATCCTAAACACCCTTACCAGCCGGATGACCCTGAGGATGGCCAGTGAAGTGGCCTGCTCGCCCTTCTGGTTTCCCTCCTGCTCAGCTATCTCCGTGCCCAGGGTAATAAAATAAGGGATGATGGCCACGATGTCAATGAAGTTCATGATGTTCTTAAAGAAGTCCGTCTTGCTGGGGCAGGCGAAGAAGCGCACCACCAGCTCGAAGGAGAACCAGATGATGCACAAGGTTTCCACGATGAAGAAGGGGTCTGTGAAGATGTTGGAGCTGTAGACCACTGTGGTGTTATCGATGCGATGGATGGTGCCTGAGAAGTCCTTCTCATCCTTCAGCTCGGGCAGCGTCTCCAGGCAGAAGATGACGATGGATATGAGGATGACCATGACCGAGACGATGGCTATGACCCGCGCGGGCCCAGAGCTCTCCGGGTACTCAAAGAGCAGCCACACCTGGCGCTGGTACTCCTTCTCCGGCAGGGGGCGCTCTTCCTCCTTGATGAAGCCCTCATCCTCACGGAACTTCTCCATGGCCTCCTCGCCCAACTCGTAGAATTTGATCTCCTCAGAGAACATGTCCAGGGGCACATTGACCGGCCTGCGCAGGCGGCCCCCGGACTGGTAGTAGTAGAGGATGGCGTCGAAGCTGGGCCGGTTCCGGTCAAAGAAGTACTCGTTGCGGAGCGGGTCGAAGTAGCGCATGCGCTTCTTGGGGTTACCCAGCAGCGTGTTGGGGAACTGTGCCAGGGTCTTGAGCTGCGTCTCGAAGCGCAGCCCAGAGATGTTGATCACCACGCGCTCGCAGCACTCGTGGTCGTCGTGGTCCACCTGCCGGGGGTAGCTGCCCTCCTGGGGGTGGCCCGGGGCGGCAGAGGCCTCGTCCACGTTGTCCCCCGACATCACCGTCATGGTGGAAGAGGGACGCAGGGGCAGGATGCCAAGAGAGAGCCCAGCACGCTCCGAAACGGCGATGGGCGCGGGGTAGGGGGGTACCGGGGTGCCCCCTCCAGACAGTGAGTGTTCCCCAGGCTCTGGGGAGGGACTTCAAAGAAAACAGGTCCGGAGAAAGGCACTAGGGCTGGGCACTACCTTCCCTCCCCCCTGCCTTTCTCTCGGTTTGGGGTCCCCTCCTCCTGCGGGCCCGGGTGCAGCTTTTTTTTCTTTCTTTGCAAGGGTTGGCTTTGGGGGGCGGGGAGCTCTGTATCTGCTTTGAGCGCTGTGTTTGGTATTTCTTCCTGCTCCTGCTCGAGGTGCTTAACGCAGTGTCGTTCTAGCGGCCCCGGCCATGGCTTCTGGGCTCGCCCTGCCTCCCCTCCCCTCCACAGCCCCTAGGACTGGGTGCGGTGCCAGCTCAGCAGATCCCCATGCCCGCCACCCCCTGCGCTGCTCCTCGGCTCTCCCCCCTCCTACCCCTCTTCGCCTGCCGCCTTTAAGCTCCCACCAGGGCGATCGATCGATGGACGCTGCAGAGAAATAGAAAGTGATACGGGGGTAGAAAATCAGAAGCATTCAGATAGGACGGACCTACAGACACCGAAGAGCACAGACTTCTAGCTGTTTAAGAAAACACTGGACTTTTACCGGGTATCACATGCAGACAGACAGAGACACAAGCAGACACCCAGAAATCCAAGTTTGGGGCTCTTCCACCCCACTTTCCTCAGCGCCCAGCAGCCGATCCGTTTAAACTTCGTTAAACCGGAGATCGGAAAAGCTCTGAGCGGCGCTGGGGAAGCTTCGGGTCTCCAGGTCTCCGGGCAGCACCCCAAGCTCCGGCCTCCCCCACCAGGGCACTCGCCCCCGCCTCTGCGGCCCGGAACCGGGGAGCCCCCTACCTGGCAGGCGGCTTGGCGCAAGGCGGTGCAGGGTCGGCGGTGAGCCCCGGCGGAATGCGGCAGGTCGCCTTTGCAGTCCGGGCGAGCGCTGGCTGACGCCGCGGCATCCGAGGCGCGGGCCCTCGCAGCCCTCCGCGTCCGCGCGTGCTGCCCCTCTCTCAGTCGGACAGTTGCTCTTCTGAGCCTCTGAGGCGGAAATGTCTTTTCCCTACCCCCATTTCCAACCTGGAGACTGTGTCCTGCCTCGCGTGCAGGGAGTTCCAGAGGATGCGGGGCGGAAAAGCAAAAAACGCCTCCCTCTCCCGAAGCTCCGAAGCAAATGACGATTGACAGCACTCTCGCCCCTTCCGAACACCGTGGGAGCTCGCGACTCGATCCCGATGGAGGCGGGCGGGTGCGATCCTGGCTCTACATGGCTCTCCCGGGCCCTCTGCTCGCCGCACCCCAGCGCGGCCCCGGCCGCGGCCGCTTGGCGCACCGGAGCCTTCAGAAGCAGCGAGTGCAGCAGGGCGCGTGCGGCGGCGGCGGGTCCGCGCGCTCCATTTCTGGGCGCTGCAAGATCAGCAGAAACCTGAGAAAGCGCCTGGGATGCAGAGCAGCGATTGGCCCACCCGGGCGTGGGTTGGGGAGGGCGGGGGAGGGCAGGATCGAGGAGGTAGATGGAAAATAGGAGGGGGTGGCTCGGCAGAGGGGGGTTGTCATTCAGTCCCCACCCCTGCCGGCACAGCTTTTTCCTCTCCTGCCAGAAAAGCCGACCACCAACTCTACTACCCTTGCGGCCCGCACGCAGCCCGGTGCACGCAGGATCCCCAGCACGGCGCGACCTTCCCCGGGAATTTCACATTGGGAATGGTCAGGTCCGACGCAATGCAGGCGCTGGTGTTCCTGGCAAAACTCCGGGACGGGTGTGCTCCTGTGCTGTGGCACAGAATCCTCTACCCTCGCCCTGCTCTGCGCCTCCAACCCCTCCCGCAGAGAGCTTTCTGCAGGTCGCCCAGCTCCCGGCAGGCCGGGCCCGGGGGTGCAGGCTTGGATGGAGCCCTGGGGCTAAGTAAGGATCCTTGCATATCTTCTCTGTAGTGCGACTGGGAGAAGGCGGTGCGGAGTCTCGGTCCCTCTTTTCCCTACCACGGGAGCCGAAGTTTCCTTCCAGTCGGATTATTTTGAAAGGTAGAGGATGTGACTTGCGGGGGACCGAAGGCTTTGTGGGTTTGTGGGGTTGTCTGCCAACTTGGTGCTAATTGGAACGAATCTGAGAAGCAAGTCGCCTACTCACCTCCCACCCTCCGTCCCGCCTCCCGCAGTCTCTTTCCCCGGCCTAATGCCTCCCCATGGCCACGTTCCAGGTTTGCAACTGACTTGGGAAAGGTTCTCCATGGTGGCGCCCGGCAGCTCGAAGCAGGGGCGTGCGCGGCCCCCAGTGAGCCTAAGCGCTTCGAGCTGCGCCCCGGAGGCGCTGAGCCCAGCGCCGCGGAGAGGAGGCAGCCTGCAGCTTGGTATTGCTCCTTCGCGGAGTCGCCTAGGAGCCTGCGAGGAGCCAGGGCCGCCGCTGATTGGCTCCTCGCTCAGCCTTGGGCCCGCCCCCTTCGCACTGCCGTGGCTCTGGCGCCGCCCGCCCACGCCGCCCACCGCTTTCATCAGCGCGGGGATCACAGCTCCTTTGTGGCTACTGCGAGGCGAGGCTCTGCGGGGTAGCCCAGGCGGCACAACCATCCCGGCATGGAACTAGTTAAATCCCTCTCCAGATTCAGACCCCAGCATTCCTTTCGCAAAATAAAAGTGTTTGTTCTCTCCTCACTTTTTCTCCTCTCCTTCCCTCTCCTCGGGATTCATGCCGGGCTTTTCTTTTATGAACAGTGAGTTCTCTTGTATTCCTCCTTCTCAAATGACACGCTGCCCTTTTGCACATTCCACGTACGTATTTGTGTCCTTCCACCCCAGTAACTTCACAGTCCCCGGGTCCTGCATTACTGCTTTATTGCACAAACAAGAACCCAGGAAGAAATGAATGTAAAACTGGGGCCTGGACTACTATCAAGTTCCTGGAATGGGGTGCTTTGATTGCTGCTGTTTTAGAGTCCTATTGGACAGAACCCTGGAGCACACCAGAAACATGTCTGACTATGGCTTAGCAGTGCTGGGCATTCCTTCCCTCCTGTGCTTCTACTGCATGTCTCTTCCAATACCCGACCCCCTCCCGCGCCCTTAAATCCTCCCAGCCTCCCGGAATGTGCTCTGATTCGGCACTTACAGATCGCCTTGCTAGGAGAGATTCACAGACTGCATAGAATCCCACCTTCCTCAATTCAGTGTTTGGAGGGGGGATCATGATAAAACCGGGGAATCTTCAGTGTCCGTGACAGTAGAGCCAGGTTGGCCTTCCAAGGACTTGGAAGAGTTTTTGTTGAGATAAGAACTCAGCATTCTTGATGGAGATGCACCATTGGTAAAGGTCTGAAGATATTAATTCACTCAACAAATACTTGCGTACCTCCAGGTAAGTGTAAGACTTTGCTTTAGCACCAAAGAGGAATAACATAGATACGCAAGATCTTGGGTCCTATGGAGCCCGCATTCTGATGGGAGACACAGACAGTAAACAAACAAGCCATGTAATATCGTATCAGGTAAAGAGAAATAAGAAGATTGGCTAGAAAGTAACAAACGTACATTTGCTTGTAGGAAGGGCTGCTCTGCAGAAGTATTATTTGAACAAAATACCTCAAAAAGAGAAAGAGCCAGGAATAGGAAGATCAGACCAGTAGATATAAGAGTAAACGCAAAGGTCCTGGAGCAAAGGCCAGCTGGGCATATTAGGGAAAGCAAGATCAGCATGGATAGAAAAATGTCACCAAGGAAGAGTGTCACAGAGGTGGATCAGAAAGGTAGGCAGAGGTCAAATGAGGCAGGGCCTCTTAGGCTGCATAAAACAATTTCATTTTATTCTGAGCACAGTGGGAAGATATTGAAGGACTTGCATCAGTGTGGTAACAATGTAATTTGGATTTTGAAAGATTGCTCTGGCAGTGCACTAATTTGAAGTTATTAAGTGGTGTGAACTAAGAGAGTTTAGAGTGGGGAGACTGTGGTGAGGAGTGCTTGAAGTAAGGTTCTGTCTCCAGATGGGAAAGGTGGGATTTGTGATATGAAGAGAAAAGTTTTGTCGATGTCCTAGGCTGTGGCCTTAGTCACTGTGTGGATGTGATGTCATGGCCTGAAGAAGTGCTTGGGGCAGTTCCTATCCCGTCTGACTGTGAACTACGTAAGTCTGGGGCCTTCCGCGCCTCCCTTAGGACGAGGCTGGCAGAGTCTCTCCATCTCTCCATCTTCCTGCCCTACCACAGGATTCCTGGAAAAGCCTCCTCCATGGGCAGCTGAGTTCAGCCTACTGAGATTAACCCTTCTCCAGTGAGGGGAATCTAGGTTCCTCCAGACAGCAGGGCAGCCCCCACAAGGCACAGAGCCACCTGGATGCCTTGTGTTAGCTCAGTGGGCCAATAGGAGCTTGCCCACAGGATGGCACAAGCCAGGATGGAGCTGTAGAGAAATCTGCCTTCCCACCTTAGCTCTGCTCATGGCGAGAAAACCACTTGCTCTAGCAACAGGTCGTGTCTCTGCTCATGAAGCAGTGATCAGCTTGATAGTGGTCATATTGAATTTGTGCCGTGGGGCTGGGGATTTAGCTCAGCAGCAAAAGCGCCTGTCTGCCAAGCACAAGGTTGTGAGTTTGGTTCCCGGTACCGGAGAAAAACCAAAAAATCAAAAAAAAAACAATTTGTGCCGTATGGCTTTCTGTCTCATTTCCCTGTTCCATTATGCTACCATTAGTTCACACCTTCCACAAAACCATTAGTACTTCATTTTTATCTCAGGTTATGTTTTCCAGAGAAGCCAAGGGATCAGACCTCCAGTTTGGGATGTGTTCAGGTATGTGATAAATACCAAATAAAGATTTGAGATGTGTAAGTCTAGAGTTCAGAGAAGAGGTCTACATAGATCAACACTTCTCATCCTCACCACTGTTGATATTTGGACTAGCTACTTTTGGGTTGTGGAGGGCTGTTCTGTGCATTTTAGGATATTTAGTAGCTTCCCCGGTCTCTACAGAAGATGCCAGTATCACCAGTGCCTGGTTGTGACAACCAAAAATATCTCCAGGCACTATCCAAATCACGGTCAGCACCATCTTCAGATGTTATGGTTAGATCTAACGTGTTCCCCACAGTTCTCCTGTGTGTAGAAGGCAATTGGATCATGGGGCGCTATAGCTGACATACTGCTAGGAGGTGGGGTATGGCTAGAGACAGGTCACTGGGGCTCCTCCTTTCTCGCAGCACTTCCTGGCTGCCATGGGATGAGCAACTTTCCTTCACTCAGACCCTTCCACCACCATTTCTGCTTTGGAGCCAGATGACTACACACCGAAACCGCAAGCCAAAATAAACCTCTCCTCCTTAAGCTGCAGGTGACAGACGTTATGTTTCAGTGACAGAGAAGGTGAGTAAGAGAAGGTCACTTAAATGACAGTTAAGGCCAGAGGACTGGACAGGCGCACTTGAACATGAAGGTAGAAAGAGAAGAGAAAATATCCAGAGAGTGTGCCTCAGGTGGGGACACCAGTGGGAGAAGGAAGAGTTGGCAAAGGAACCAAGAGGGAGCAGTTGGCAAGGTAAGAAAATCAGAATTCTGGGGCTGTGGTGCAACATGGGGAAATCAGCTGAGTTGAGCCCTCCTCACAGCATGCACAAAATGAGAAATTTAAAATTGAAGCTCTCAGATTAAAAAAAAAAAAAAAAAGCTGTCTTAGTTACTCTCTCATTGCTGGGACAACCCAACACCCACAACTTGAAGGAGGAGAGGTTCATTTTGGCTCAGAGTGTGTAGAGGTCTCAGTGCGTAGTCAGCTGGCTCTGAGGCAGGACTGCAGGGCAGAGGGGCTTGGTGGAGGAGAAACATCTTCTGGCATGGCAGACAGGAGGCAGAGAGACGCAGAAGGGAGATAGACTCTTGCATGTCACCCCCTCAGTGACCCACTTCCCCCAACCAGGCTTTACCTCCCAAAGTCAGTTAGCTATAAACTCAGCAGACTGATGACCCATCAGCTATAAACTTATGGTGGGCTCATACTAATCCAGTAACGTGTATCACACCCCCGTGATATAACCACCTCCCCAGTGGCCCCACCTAGGAGTGCCTGAGGCTTTGAGGGACATCTAGATGCACACTGTAACAGGGTTGAAAAGAGACTGAGGGAGAAACAATGATAGTGGGTAAAAGCAATTTGAGATTTGCTGTCAAGGGGAGCAGAAGAGTGGAGCAGTAGGCCAAAAAAAGATGAGTGAGAAGTCGTGTTTTAGAAATAAAATCTATTACAATATGTTTTTATGCTAATGGGAAAGATTCAGTAGAAAAGGGGAAATTGTTAATGAGGTAAAAAGAAAAAATGAGAGCAATATTCTTGAAGAAGCAGTAAAATAAAATAAAGAATGAGACCTAAGAGAAAGGACTGACCTTGGGAAAGGACAGTTATTCTATAGAAAAGGAGAGAGGAGAGGAACACAGTGACCAGATAGATACAGGTAGCTGAACAGATGTCACTGGGAGTTTGTGGACATCACTTATGTCACCAGGGTCATTTTCTCTTGAAAAGAGGAAGCAACTTCATCAACTAAAAGTGAAGATGAGGAAGAGGTCTCAGAAACTAGAGATGGAAACTGCAAAATACCCACCTAGGAGAATGGGAAGATTAGGGGGTGTGCCCAGGCAGCATCAGAGCTCACTTCAGTGAGGGAATTGTGCTGGATTAACTAATGGCCAACTTGTCACACCCAGGTGGACTGAATCAGTGTGGTGCAGGTTGTGGAAGGCCCACCTGAGGACTGTTGCCAACAGCATAAGAGGAGAACTGGAGGGGAAAAATGGTGTGCTGTTGATCCTTCTGGAGAAGCTTGTCACACTGGCTTTCCTGATATGAACTCAGCTGTTCTTAGTGTCAGAGGAGCTTGGGTCCTCCATATCCGCTGAGGATGGCTGTGGCTCTCTTTGGGGAGCTTCAGTCCTTATCTTGAGCAACACTTCATGGCTCTAGTGCAAATCCTTCTGCCTGCCAGCATAAATCCTTCATCCCGCTGGCACAGACTTTCTAGCTTCCACCACTGGCCTTTGGGCTTTCCCAGTGAAGGTACTTGATATATACCTGCAAGAGACATTGTTGTGGACTCTAAACCTCCAGCTGGAATTGTGGATGACATTGCCATGGGTTCTAGGTCTTCAGCTGGACTCAAGCAGGATATTGCCATGGGATTAAGGCCCTCAGCTGGATTCTTTGGGTCTCTCGTGTGTGGACAGATCTCCTGCACTCTTTTGCATTTGACTGTTTGGGTAGCTCTTGTAAAACAGCCTTATAAATTATGTGTTCTGTGTTAAATATTTTCCCTTGTAAGCTCTGACTACAACAGGAATTGATTTTAAGTAGCCAGGCACTGGACACTTGAGATAACTTAGATGTGAGCCATGATGGAATTAGTCCATATGACCTTTTATGAAAATGTGTAGCTAATTCTAAGTATACAGTTCTTCTTGGGATTAGTTTCTTAAGGGCTATGTCCTGGACATGGTGTCACCAGGCAGGACATACATATGCTGACTCACCTCTATAAGGTGCAACAGGACAGTAATGGTAGTCTTGCAAGTTTGGCTGTAAACATAAAACATAACATGGAATCACTAGGAATTAAGAGGGAAAGTTCAGAATTCAGTGACTTAAAATGACAATAAATGGCATGGCT